ATGTTTACCTGAAGTTTCCATGCTGCAGTTCCAACCTGTTCCTTCTTGTCCTGTCTTTCTTTCCCTGTCTTTGAGTGTGGGTGACAGTGTGCCTCCATTTCTTGAGCAGAAGCCTTTCATTTTGTGTTCTTATGCCAAGTGAAATCTCTGTTTGCTGTCACATAAGACAAAGCTCCTAATCTTTCCATGGATTCCTCCACCTCTAAGAACTCTGGAATATGTACTGTCATCTACTGCATTCCCATTTCTATTTAGCAGTGACTGAAGCACTGCAGAGTGAGATACAATTAAAGCCAATGTGATATTTAGGGAATAACTGACAAAATTTTTACAGTTATTGAAAAGCTTGTCTGGTTAATTTTATTTTAAATCTCATTTTCACAAAATGGTTTCTTCTAATCTTCACCATCTGCATAACAAGTGTAATCGGCAAGCTGAAATTAAAATCTCTGCCACCTCTGCCCTTCAAATCAGTCACAAATTAAACCTGAAAACAGTGTCTTCTAGTAGGAAAAAACCTTCCAAAAAATCCCTCTTGTTTATTTCTCTCCACTGAAGTAAAACATTTACCCTTGCTTAAAAGAATACAAATAGATGTTACTAAGCAACTTTTTTTTTTTTTTTCTGAATTTTATCTTCATCAGATCTTGAAGTAAATGCTGATTTAGAAGCCTTAGACTTTTTGCCAGGTGGCATTGCAGTAGACACCTTTCACAAGCAGCAAATCAGCAGAGCATCCAGGATATTCATGGAAAATTTGAGAGGCATTCTGTGCTTATCCTGGTGACCCTTCAGAGCTCCACAGAAAGGCAGCATCACAGGGACTTGCCACAGAGTGTTATTGGTAGGAGCATTTACAGTGTTATTCTACAGCCTTTGCCTGCAGTGTTGCTCTCTTCTTTTAGCAGCTGGCAAGAAAATGCAGGTAACTTCTGGAGAGAAAAACTGGCTCAATGGAGAGGATTTTTAGTAATTCTGCCATAAACTTTTCTTACACACATCTTTGTCATTGTCATCTGAAAAGTCCACTGACAGGTAATGGTACTGATTCTTTTCCCTGCACTGTATCAGTAGGAAGGGCTTTTGTACAGTACAGGCTTTTCTGTTTTCTGGATCAGGAGGTTGCTGGTAAATTCCCTTCCTGGAGCTGTATTTGGGTAATATTCTCTGTGAGGAAAAGAATCCATGCAAATGGTAATCCTTCAAAACAGTTGAGACAGCACTGTGTGCCAGAGGGCTGAAAAATGTGAATGAACATGCTCTGATTTACCAGCAAGGTCTGTTCCTCCAGTGCAAATATTTAATCTGCTGACAAGGAGATAAGGGGCTTTGTACAGCTTGGAGACCAAGCTAACATCCCAAATATGATACATTTCTTACCTTTGGAAGAAATTATAATGCAACATAATGAATATCTCCTCTGTCTCCAGTTCCGTGTATACAGTTGTAAAGGATACTGCAGGTTCTTCCATATCAGCATGTCCAGAAACAAAATGTTGTTTTGGAGAATAAAAATCCTTGCACGTTTTCTCACTTCCTGTTAAAGAATCTGAAATTTTCATTTCCAAAGTAGATGAGAAAATAGGGTCAAATCCAGTTTTCTTCTAATCAAAGTTTACTTGTGCTCAATTTCCTACTTCATTTACTTCTGAACCACAACCATAATACAAAACTAATTGAAGAACGTTTACTCTCCATCTTCAAACTCATAATTTGTGAATTGATGATAGTTCTTTTTGATACATGAAAGGTTTTCTTTTGTTTTATGATTTGATGTGAAGTCACAAAACCCTTCATTGTGCTCATTCCTGGCAAGAAGTATGAGAAATGTCACTGATTAAAACGTGCACATTTTGTTTTCTAGTGATTACTTCCTTTGGATAACATTTTGAAATCTTAATGAATTGTGGCACTTCTTATCCCTGTAACTGTCAGAGACTTAGAAATAGGAATTAAATACATTTCTACTGAAAAGTCCAAGTCAGGGCTGAATAAGAGAAAATAAGGAGTTTACTAAGTCCAAGTGCAGTTTCTTCTCTGTGAACTCACACGAAAGCATTGCTCAGTTGAAGTACACAGGAAGTTTGATACCAGGTCAACTTTTATCAGGAGAAGCAAAGTCCAATTCATAAATACATCCTTACATATGCACCTCTATGCCTGTCAGGATTTAACCCCAGACAGCAACTAAGCACCACACAGCCCTTCACTGAGAAAACTCATGTGTTGAGCTAAGGACAGTTTGATAGGTAAAGAAAAAGCTTCATGAACAAGGAAAGTAGAACAAGGAATCAATTCACCACTTCCCATGAGTAGGAAACAACTGTTTTCCCTCTTTTTTCTTCAGCTTTATAAGCCAAGCATGGAACATCCCTCTGGCCACTTCAGGTCAGCTGTCCCAGCTCCCTCCCAGCTTCTCGTGCTCCTGGCAGAGCATGGGAACCTGGAGTCCTTGGCTTAGAGGAAGCACTACTTAACAGCAACTAAACCATCAGTGTGTTGTCCCCATTATTCTCATACTAAATCCAAAGCACAGCACTGGTGTAGTGGGTTGGCCCTGGATGGACACCAGGTACCTGCTCTCTCACTCCCCTCTGCAGCTGGACAGAGGAGAGAAAATATGACAAATGGTTCATGAGTTGAGATAAGGACAGGGAGAGATCAGTCACCAGTCACCATCACGGGCAAAACAGAGTGGGGATATTAATTAAATTTACTACTGACAGAATCAGAGCAGAAGAATGAGAAGTAAAATAAATCTTGAAAACACCTTCCCCCTACCCCTCCCTCCTTCCAGGTTCTGTCTCGTCCCCACAGTGACACAGGGAGATGGGAATGGAGGTCATGATCAGTTCAGCACAGGTTATTTCTGCTGCTGCTGAGAGAGAAGAGTCCTTCCCCTGCTCCCTATGGGGTTTCTCCCATGGGAAACAGTCCTTCACAGCCTTCTCCAGCGTCAGTCCACCCCATGGGCAACAGTTCTTTACAAGCTGCTGCAGTGTGGGTCACTTTTACATGGGGTGCAGACCTTCAGGCACAGTCTGCTCCAGTGTGGGTCCCCCACAGGGCCACAAGTCCAGGGAAACCCTGCTCCAGGGTGGGCTCCTCTCCCCACAGATCAGCAGGTCCCTGCAGGGTCCCTGCTCCATCATGGGCCTCCCATGCAGTCACAGCCTCCTTTGGATACCCACCTGCTCCGGCCTGGGCCCCTCCAGGGGCTGCAGGTGGGTCTCTGCACCCCGATGGTCCTCCATGGGCTGCGGGGGAACCTCAGCTCCGGTGCCTGGGGCCCCTTCTGCCCCTCCTGCCCCTCCTTCTCCACTGACCTTGGTTTCTGCAGAGTTGTTCACATGTTCTCACTCTGCTCTTTTCTGGCTGCAATTTTCATCTGCCAAATAACTTTTTTTTCCTTCTTGATGATGTTATCCCAGAGGCATTACTGCCATTCCTGATGGGCTTGGCCTTGGCCAGTGGGGGGTCCATCCTGGCAGCTTCTCACAGAAGCCACCCCTGTAGTCCCACTGCTACCAAAACCTGGCCACAGAAACTCCATAAAACTAGCTACTAAGAGGAAAATTAACTCAATCCCAGCTGGCACCAGGATGATGTCCATGGCCATGTCAGTATTGGTGACATAATAATCAGATTTTTGCAGATGTAACCTAGTTTTCAGGCTGGGACTCCTTTCCTATCCTGAGCTATTGACAGTGAGTGGGCTAAGGAACAGGTAGGGATGAGGAGAAAGTATATGTTCCTCCATTTATGAAATTCTTTTTCCACATATTTTCTGTTCTTCCCTACCACTGATCTATTTAGTGAACTTCCACCCCTCCCATACTAAACAGAAGATGGGGGCTATAGACCAGAGGGAACTTTAACAGTGATAAAGTTGATGTGAAAGTTTTTGTATCTGAAAAGCAAGGTTGTAGGAAAGACAGTATGTATTATTAAATAGTTCATATAGGTGGGAAAAAGCAGATGAGCTTTTGGGCACACCAGCTCTTCTTCAGTTCCCTGGAAGGCGCACACGCATTTTGCCAAATCATTTCAGTTCATCTACTGAAGTAGTGCTCATCAGCCATGGGTAACTTGAACTTGCCTTTAGCAAAGAACATGAATTCTTTTGAAAAACCCTGAATAAAACTGAGTAGAGTTGCATGGAAATGACTCTTCTTTTTCAAGTCTCTGAAAGGTAGGTGCAAGGCGAAGAGTGCAGCACGCGGGGTGCTCTTTATGCACAGGGAACACGCAGACTGTGTATGCTCTGAAGTTTTCCTCTTACATCCGAAGTGTGCCTTAGTTTTCGCACCACAGAGCAACTGTGAAAATGCAGAGTTTGCTTCAAACAGCAGATTTCTCCACTGGGATTTTTAGTAGGATGCTATTTCTAGCTGGAGGTTACAGCATTGTCAGTGATCCACCATAGTAAGGAGCTGCAGCATTTCCCCATGGCCGTGAGACATTTATCAGGTGATAACTACTAGGAGCTATAGACCTGGGCCAAATTCAAGGGAACATCTTGTGAAAGGCCGTGTATTGTGCTCAGTGAGCCATTCTGGTACCTGAAACTGTGGACTTAGTGATCCAGGACTAAATTAAATAGAAACAGTCCAATGAATGTCCAATTTTACTCAGTCATCCAAATATATTATGATAATGCAGCACTATAGAGAGATATACTGTGGTTGAGATAATTGTGACTGTTAATTGTCAGCCTTGTTGATAAAGGACATTCCTCTGGAAATTATTTGAAAGACATAGGGAAGCAGTATTTGAAAGACAATTGCTTTTATTTACCTCCAGACTGAAAGGCAAAGAAATTTATGAGGTTTGTAACTGTTTGATGTTATTTCTATAAAATGTGTTTGTTTCCATAAACAGGAACAAAATATATTCACATAGCAGTGTTAAAGAAGTGAAAATCTGGTTTTATCCTTCTTTTAGACAAAACATAACAGCAGAACAATGTGATGAAGATCAGGGCAGCTTTCTGCTCAATTTTATTTCTTCTTCCTGAACGTCTGATGGCACACCTGGTCTTCACATGTCAGTTCCTACAGTATTAAAACAATGAGTAAATATATAGTGGTGGAAGTTATATTTTGCATACACAGCAGATCCCACCAGAAATTACTACAACTGAGCCACCACATTAAAAACTTATGCTTATGAAAAAGAGAACAGAAAGAATAGTGTAATGTATGTAACCAAACAGCAGGCATGCACCTCATGTTGCAGTAATTAGTTTTTGACACTTGAATTGAACTCTAAGAAGAATAAACATGAAAAATGCATAAAAATTGCGCTTTAATGCAAGGCCTTTTCATGCTCTGTTATTAAAACAATATACTGTACTAGTTTATAATTCACGTTACCTCATAATTCATGAGAAGCAATGAAACAAGGAAATAATAAAAAAAGGAATACTTTCAAAAGATGATTTGCTTCAGAGGCGTGCCCAGCTATTTCTCAGGGGCCAGAACAATACGCCGTTTTTGCCCAGTGTTGCAGCTGACCCCTTAAAGTTTGGCACAGCTGCTTGTTGCAATGCAGTCAGTTTGCTTAGTCTGATCAGCCAGCATTCCTGTGCTAACAGCACTTTGAAGGGAGCTGGAGCTGGCTTTTTGGCCAGCAGGGAACCAAACCTGCAATACAGTTTCTGAAGACTCTTGTAAGGATCTACTTGGCCTCTCTGTTTCCCCCAGTCTTAGCCTCAATGGTGGTTCCATCCTGTAGAACCTTTGTTAGGTCAGCTTTTGAGTATGTGTTAAAGTAGATTTGAAGTCACTGGATGGGTGAGTTTTAGTTTGGTGGCAGATGTTTTAACTCACAGCTTTGACCTTTCGGGGGTACAGACCCGAGCCACTGTAGGTGCCACACCAAGAATCCACAGAGGAAACAGGTGAAGGAGCAGATGTCTGGGTGCAAAGCGTGGGAGAGAACAATGAGAGCTCCTCCACAATCTTTCTCCCCCCCACCATTGTGCCATCCAACACTATCGTGCCCATTTCTTGATTGCTCTCCCAGGAAACTCGGGAATCATTATCATTATGTGAAATGTTCAAAAAAATGAGTAGATGTGGCAATTCATGGTATGGTTTGGTGGGCATGGTGGTATTCAGTCAGATCTTGGATTTGATGGTCTTGGAAGTCTTTTCCAACCTTCTATGATTCTATTATTTTGAAATCTTTCTGGACTTCACAGCCTGCTTATTTCCTGCACGAGTTCTTCAGGCCTCTCTTAGACTCACCTCTTCTGTCTTTGGGTTCCAGCTACTACCTCAGATGTATGAATATTTTGAAGTTTTTATTGTACTAGCAAAAATAGTTGCAGTAGAGGTTGTTTACGGGATCCTCTTGAGTATCCATGGGTTTCTGATCTGTATTACAACATAGCGTGCTAAAATTTCATAGTGCTTCTTTCAGAACAAAAAATAACATTTCTCTTGCAATCTGCCTGATTGGTTTTTTGTTATTTCTTCTTTTTTTTCTCCTACCAGGGATTATAACAGAATGAGATGATGCTAGAGATGCAATGTAACAGGAAGGGTTAATGGCTGGAGGGCAGTGGACTGGAGCAAAAACCCCACTGCAGGGTTATGCCTTAATTGGGAGCAGGTGGAAAGAAATAGAGCATTCCTATTACTTAAGGGTAATTTCCTTAGAGTTCAGAGATCAAAACCGTCTAAATAAAGACCTTTCTAACTAGAAAAAGGATCATTTGAAATGGAAAAGCTGAGTGTGTTGCACCCTCAGAGATGTGCCATGTATCTGCACAACAGCCCTTACCAGATGCAGAATGTCTCCTTCAATCCAGTGCTTCCAGCCCCTGTTGTTCTTTTCACCTTTCTGAACACAGACCAGTTTGTCACCGTCCCAGGTCACCAGTGTCTGCATGAATCAGATAATTAAGGCAGATATGTTAATGAGAAGTTAATGAATACATGAAAATAAGTTCAATCAAAAAATGTAAATACACAATTACACAACTGCTTTCTGTCATTTCCCATCTTCCTCCTAAAAAACTTGAAATGCCTTTAACCAAAACCCCAGTGCATTCAAGATGCCAACAGCATTTTGAAGGGAAGTTTTGCAGTGCTTTGTTTTCATTTCCAGGTGTTTCTTCCCATACACATATATCAAGTGTTCACACTAACCAATGAACTGCTGAGTGAGTTAACAGATAATTGTGCAATATATGCAAATTGTACTTTTTTTTCTTACTGTTTAAAGCAAGATGGGTGAAGACCTGGGGGTTCATACCAACTAGTGCAGTGCTAACACCTTTTTCTAGGTCTGCATAAAATAACAAGAGAAAGTGGATGTTAGTATCATCTCATACAATAAATTTTTTACATGTTTTCATGCACTTTCATAAAGACATTTAACGAGATGTGATCGTAAGCTGGGCAATGTGCTGTAGCTGACCCTACTGGAGCAGAGGGGTTGGACAAGGTGATCTCAAGAGGTCCCTTCCATCCTCAACCATTTGATGATTTGGTGTGATTCAGAGTCTGTCACTAGTAGACAGGGTATTGGGTGTGCTGATTCTTGTCCAGGAGCAGGGTAACTGTCAGTAAGAAGAATTTCTCTTTACAGGCTAAATCCTCTCTAATATCTGCAGATGTGCCAGGGTACATTCACAGCAATTTTGTTTGAACTGTTCTAGGTTTGAAACACTGTACTTTAGGGGCGTACTTAACCATGTCTCAGACAAATCCTTTTTAGAGCCCAGTTACAGTCCATGTAAGTTCAGCTATTATAAAGCTCCAAGTGTACTGGGACCTTAGTTCATTTTCTACTCCAGCACTGGATAATTTATTTCTCTTAGGAGGGAGCTTTCTATTAATGCAACAAAAGTCATTCCATTTCAGTTAATTTCTTTTTTATTTACGGAATTTTCAAGCTACATGCTCTCTAAATTATCCATGCCCTCTTTACACTTAAATGTTGCCTACCAATTTTATTATGTTCATCTAACTTTAATGTGTTTGTGGCATTGTTTAGTTAATAAAATGACCGGAACATTCTTTTACAGCAGTCCAGAGAAAAATGGCATGACATGCTTCTCTTTTGCTTCTTTTCTCATTAGAAACAAATAATATAATTTGTTAAGAAAAGAATATTAGGCCAAAGTAATTAAACCAGGTAGGGTTATAAATGTACACACCGTGTTTTCTTCTTTCCTTCCTTCCTCCCTCCCTCCTTCCCTTCCTTTCTCCCTTCCTCTCTTCCTTTCCTTGCCTTTCTTCCCTCCCTTCCTCCCACTGATAGTGAAGAGAAGAGTCTGCAAGTGAAAAGATTTTGCAGGGAAAGGCAAATGCTTTAGTAGGGGTGAAGGGCACTAGAGGAATGTTAGTTGATGGATTTAAGGAGTGATGCATCCAATGAGTCTTTATATCCTTCATAATGCCTTCAACTGACCTAAAGAGGTGTGGGAACAATGTTTTAAAGCATGGACTTTATCACAGGAATATGTCCTACCCAGGGCTCACTGGAGAAAGAGATAGGAAGAAAATTTCAATACAGGGATATTCAGGATAGTGGGGAAAAAAAAAGGTTTTTATTATTTGATGGCTTGCAGTGCTGTCAATGAGAAATAATTTGAAAGAAGTCATGGAATTACACTGCACAAGGTTAGTTTGAGAATGCAAAGTGATCCATGGTGAATAAACAATGACTCATGTTAAATTTGTGCCACTCCAGTGCAGGATGCTGTGAGTTCAAATGTAAACATGTCCTTTATGCTGCCAGGTTCCTGTGGCAATTGCCAAAACAAACCAGATCTTTTGACAGGGAGCTTTGGTCTCAGCTTCCCCGAGCTTGGCAGCTGAGAGCTGAGTGGCAGAACACGGCTGTGGTGATGGCAAAGAGTCAGACAGGGGCATTCAGGGCATGGTGCCAAGAGGAGCCAGGGGATGCAGGATCAGCAAGGCTTGGGAGGGGACAGGCATTGGAAATGTAAGATCTACTGGGCTTTCTAGCTTGGAAAATCTTGCTTAATTATTTTAGGGGCGAGAAGAGAGTAAACCTGCAGTGGTATTGGTACAGAAACACGAGGCTGAATTCAGTAAATGAATTAGGACTCAAGTGTGTTCCTTTCCTCTCTGACAGAGCCCTGTCTGAAGGCCCCACAGGAACCCACTCACTGACTCTGCCACAGGAGGGAGGGAAGGGGCTAATGCACAGCATGGCCCTTGGTCCAAACCTGTGTGTCTGAACATATCCCCACAGATTCCTGGGGGAATTCTGAGCTCGGGTTACTCCTGTAATCCAAAAGGTAGCAGAGCATGCACTGCTGGGCCTCCTTGCCCCTCTGCCCCTGCCAGCAGCCCTGCCGCCTGGATCACTGGGAGCTCTGGCTCACATTTCTTTCTTGCCCCTTCCTGAAGCTCCCTTAAGGTTCATAGCCAAGCACAGTTTATTTTTAACAGTGTCTAACTGTTAAACTGCCCAGCTGAGGCTGATCAGGCTCAGATTAAAAATACACTCTGAACACAACCATTGCAAACTGAAGATTTATATTGATGTGGAAACAGTCCTAAATTCACAGGGATGAATTTAAAGTTTCATTAAAGAGGATACATAGGTAAAAATAAGTTTTTCTGCTTTCTAAATACATAAAGAAAGTAGAAAAGCTGGAAAAATTCCTTACTAGAAAAACCTGTAATTAATGATTGTCCTCTCGAGTCTGAGTAACCATCCCGATTGACATTTCTAATAAATGCTTGTAGCAGGAAAGAAAACTGTCTCAAGATGCAAATTATTTCTGCTTTATAAAAATCCTCTGATGTTTGTGAAATATTGGGGGCTTATTTAATGTGTTCAGCTGATTTTTGAACCTGCTGACTCAGGTACCAGATTTTTACCTTTACCACTCGGTTATCCAGTCCTTTGGTGTGTTCTTCAAACTCCACTCCCACTGTGTAATCCACATCATAGTTTCTGAAAGTGCTGACTGTTTTTGTTTTAAAATTATCTCCATTTTGAGTAATCTCCTTTGTTTGTTTCAAGTGTTTTGCAATCTTACGAGTTGCAAAATCAATACCTGTCAAAAACCAAAAGAGAGAGTATCACAATGAAAATTCCAGTATTTGATACCAAAAAAAAAACCAAAACCAGAGCATATATTTATAGATTAAAAAAATATGTGGAATATAGTTCCACAAATAATGCTTTTACCTAGAACATTTTGCAGAGAAAAAGGTAATTTCAAATAAAAATCATCTTGTGATTGCAAGTACACTTTCAATTCGATGATCTTCCACTGATTATAAATTTATTTATTAACAGGATATCTGTGGGAATGTGAGCAGAGCTACAGCACACAACCAATAGTGTTTAAATTACCTGAACTTCCAGGTTTTTTTGAGAACATGAAACAACAGGGGCTATTCAGACTGACATTGCCTGTTTGACCTCCCTTCCACATGAAGCTGTGGGATGCAGGAGAACTGTTATCATCTAATAACAGGGAGCCATTCCTTTGCCACTGCCTTTCCTAAGCATGCAGGAACTCAGGGGGCTCCCTTAGGCACATGGGGGTACTGCTCTTTGTCCTGCAGGATCACAGATGTTGGCCACTTCTAAAGAAGGATCTCAGAATAATATTCCTTTTCAGAAATAAAGCCTGTTAGAAGGAGTATGTAACCAAGGGAGAATGAGCACGTAATCAAAGGGATTCTGGCATGTTACTTTTATGATGAACCTACAGCCTGTGGGAGTATATAAGAGGATAATTAATTAACCTAAAATAATGAAATATATACTGGTGACCAACATTCTAATGTAAACAAGTGCTTGCAGTGGAATGCACTGGAAGTTACCAAAGGCAGAATATAGATTGCCATGCTGACAGCTTGCCCCAGCCAATCCACCTCATGCCAGCAGCATCACCAGCTGCAATAAATATTTCTGCCCAGCTGGCAGGGAACCTTATTGTGGTGCTCTATGCAAATGAAATAATCTCACATGCTGCTGCAAGGGGTTGAAAAATGGGTTTGGTTTGCCAGCCATCCTTTAGTGGTTTTGCATGGGAGTTCATCACTGTCAGCTCGGCAATGCCATGTTCTAAAGGAGCCCTTTTTCTTTTGGTAGATTCATTAGACTACTTGTGAAGTGCTCATAGAGTTGAGCAAGAGGATTGGCTTTAAAAAAATGTGACTTTTTAACACAGGGAATAATGTTCTCGTTCGGTATTTATATTCAAGACTTCTTGGGTATATTTTATCTGCTGGGGTGGATTAAAGGTATCTCTGGGTCTGATTTATAGCCAGACAACATAAAATTTAGTTCTCTCCGAGGGAAAAAATTGTCTAGACCTCTAAAGAAATGCTATTTCTGACTAATATATTAGTCTTGTAGCTCCTGGAGAAAATTAGGGGAGGTTTTATTAAAGCATGGTTTTCATAACTGCATTTTGAACAATACAAGCAATAAAAAGGATATATTGTTTAATTTTGGTAGGTTAAAATACTTTGTAACATGTTTATGATAAAACCAAAGTTCCTGACTTAAAGGACAAAAGCATTCTTTAATTAAAGTATAGAATATATGTGTGCATTAATTAAAAGGATGGATGAATTTAAAAAAAACCCAAAACCTCAGTGTGCTTTGAATCTGAGCACTTTCATACTTAAAATACCAGCTACATGTAAAACTGTGAGAAAAAGAGCAGAAGAATATTTTTTCACCCTTTGCCTGTAATTTGTTTTCATTCTGAGAATCACCTATAGCATATGTATCTTTGTGTTGGTTTTGCAGTTTTAACTTCATCTGACTTACAGTGTGTATGTGCTTGTGTACACAAAAAAGCATGATGGAACACTCAATTTGTGACAACTGGAAGTTGTCTTAAGCATCAGCCAGACCAACAGGCCCCATATTCAAAGCTAAAATCCCATTTCAGTTGCACAGAAAATAGCAATTATTCTTCATGCTTAACTAACTGCCAAACCCCAGCATGCAAATCACTTCAGTCAGTGTGTATCTTTCTCCTGAAATTCATGATATTGGCTTAATCATTCTTATTTTTTTAAAACCTCACAGGTGTCTCTGTATCTTATCTACAGGTGTCCCCAAAGTTATTGATCTTTTTTCCATAAATACAAAGGGCAAAAACTATGAAGAGTGAAACTTGCCTTTCTCTCTTAAGAGAGTTGAAGCTTTGAGGAAATTATAAATATTTTCAATTGTTGGTGAATAATGATGAGAGTTTATTTATAAGTATTTATGTGCATTCCTTCTCTTTCTATCCGAACAGATAAATCAATTAGGGTTAAGATTCTTTGGTAAGAGTAAAACTAGTACAAAATCACATAAAGCATCAAATTTTTCATTTATGTAACATATAATTTTAGTAGTTCAAAGCACTAATTAAGTATTAGCATTATTGTTGCTTTAGTGATATAAAACATCCTATTCCTCTTTAGCAGAGCTAACCAGGCTGTGGCTTCACTGGTACAGTAAGTATTTACAGGAATAAAAAGAGTTTCTGTATCTGAAAGCCTGTTATTTTGGATTTTTTTTTTCCCCCCATCTGTATCTGTTTTTTCATTTATCTAAATAAAGAATAATGTATTTGGCTACAAATCTTCTCTTGCTTATATACTTATATCACGGTAATTATAAGTGATTTGTTGATTTTCACTTGATTGGCAGAAGCCCTTGTGCCACAGCACACACTACAGAAATAAGCTCATTAATTTTTAGAAGGGTTTTACTTATAATTGGAACATTTCCTCTTCTCTCTGTACAGTTAATGTTTTTTCACTCACCTAAAGCCACCATGTAGCCTTCAAAGTTCTCGTTGGTCTCCATCTCCCAGGTGCCATTGTAATCAGCCGGCATGGTGGCCACAGCTTCCAATCACCTGCAGCTCCAGAGGGGAGGCTGGGAACAGGACCTGCTCACAGAAGGTTTTATAAAGCTTTTCATATCTTTTTTAATAAGGTTTATGGTTTTCTAGATAATACAGAGTAAGGGGCAGAGTGATAACCCTGCAGACTTTGCCTTCGTTAACAAAGTTCACTTGAAGAGCTGGCAGCCAAGGAACACTTTCAGAAATCTGGAGTAATACAGGCTATGATTTTCCAGTGACCTCTGGGAAGAAGGACAAGCTATTATGGGACACCTTTGAAACAGATTGAACACAGTGTCAAATTGGGCAATCCACTTAAAAGTTTCCAAGGTGAATTCCCTTTTTCAGTTCCTTTCTCTGTGTCACTGTTCCCTATGAAGGGTCAATTTTACGGAACTGTCACACCCAGAACTCCCATTTAAAAGTTTTGGAAGTCTCAAATGTGCAAAAAATGTAAAGCAGGGCAGAAAAAGGAATATTCCCATTGAAAATATTTTTGTTTTCCTTTGATTTTCAAAGTAGCTGTACTTATACCAACCACACTTCCATATTTTGGTTTTAATTTAACAGTAAGTTTATCAAATATAAATACAATACAATATCAAATCAAATCAAAATACAATACAATACAATACAATATCAATCAAAATCAAATAATATCAAATACACTGAAACATGGCAGTTAGAAAGGTATTTTTCATCCATTGGCATTACATTGTTGTGGACAAACCCACATATTTCAGTTGTGCAAATAAGCACATTCAGAATGTGTCTGAATGGAGATTTTGAATGTGCAGTCCAACTTTACTGGAATTTAAAGTAAGTACTAAAAGCAAATTAACATAAGATTTTACATTATGTGGCTTTAATCAGTCAAGAGAACTTAGAGATGGCTCTACAGAGAGAGTAATTGAAATGATCAGCAGTCAAAAACCCCTTAAACTCCTTGCCTTTCTTTCCCTCCTCTTTCTTCCTTTTTTTTTTTTATGGGTATATTATTTAAAAATTTACTAGAAAAAGTAATAAAGTCTAGAACTCCAACTCAGAAATAACAAAACTGAATAGTTACTGACCTTATAATGTCTCTTCTATGCCTTCACTTTGTTAAAATTTAATGTAAAATTCCACAACTGTTAAAAATTTATGTAGGGTTTTAAATAAACAACAAAAAAACTAAAGAAATTTGAGAGTTTCTGGGAGCTGAGTTCTTAAAATGCCTTAACTTAAGGAGCTAATTTAAGATAAGGAAAGGAAGTATCTTGATCTGTACTTACAGGAGATGGGGAGAGGGTTTTCAATCAGACAAAGGCTCCAGAATCTTTGTGTCTAAAATATTGTTCTGTGGTCATATTAGGTAATACCTATGCAATAGGTTTGATTTTACATATCTTTGTGTACTTTCTTAGCCTCCATGCTGCATCAATGTCAATAAATACATTATTACTCTTTAGATGTTTTGTGTATGTATTAAAAGGTTCTATAAATTTTATGTATGTACTAAAAGGTTCTATAAAAACAAGAAAAAGAAAATGTTATCATTCTCAAGTCAACCCCTCACAACCACTCCAAATTAGCTGTGTAAGCACCATCAGTTCCCTTGTGCACATGCATAATAATCTTTGCCTTATCACACTGTCTTCCCAACTGGAAGTTCTTCTCTCCCTTCAGGATACTGAAAGAATGAGGTACAATTTATAAGCAGGTACTCAGTGTTTTACCTTACATCTCCAAATGCCTTGGGGGGGGATTTATGAGGAGTAGATCAGACTGAATGTCTACAAGCACCTCCAAAAATCAGAGCATTTGCCAGAAGCTCACGGGGAGAGATTTTATGTGCTCGTTGATTTTCGTTCTGATGTAGTTTGCTTCCTATGTAACAGTCATTTTGGTGGGATGTGGAGGAGACTGAAGCTGTGCCATGTGATGATCCCCAACTAATGTCCATTAACAACCAATAAAGTGACAGAGGGTCCTGTTGCTGCAGATATGCAGAGCCAGGCACATTCAGAGAAAGTCAATTATGAGATGAGTACATCCTTTGCATAAAACACCATAATTAATTAACAGCATACACATATAATTGTACAGGTTTTCCCCATGATGTTTTGATGATATCCATCCATTTTTCTTATTTTTCCCCTGATGTGTATATTTTCTAAGCAGGTGTTTACCTATTAAAGTAGCATTTTGAGCCTTTTCAGGTAAATATACAGCCAAGGGGTTTACAGACACGAAGTTTAACCAATCAAAGAACTGGCTAAATAGGGAATTAATAAAACTGAAATACTGAAAATTAAATACTGACTTGGCAGAGTTCTGTGATGCTTCATGAGCTTTTAAAGAGCATTGTGTTAAGGTCCATGAAGAGAATTTTCAGTTTAAGAATGAATATCTTGGTAGACAGTAAAAGCTCTACCACAGTCAAACACCTGCCTAAATCATATGATGCCAAGACACAGTTTGGATACTGTGAACACAATTCTTTTTACAGCACTAGGTGGATAATTGCAAGTCTTGGGTCTGTGCCTTACCAGGTATAGTGACCTGCCTCTCATCACATTTCAGATTTAAAATTTTGACTAATTATTCATTTGAAATCTTAGAAATTATTCAGTGTGCTCTGTTTTTATTGTTTATGTACTGTAGACATAGAGACAAACTTTCAAAATGGCAAAAGAATATTTCCTTCCCATGGGACAAGTCTACCTTTGGGGAAATGAAGATAAGGTGCCTTCTCCTGATTGTCATTAATATTTTGTTCTCAGCATCCTTTTCTTGCAAGACCACCAGGGCTGCCATGTGCACCATGTATTGAACCCCAGGAATGGGGAGAGGGAGGGGTCTTTTCCATGTTTTCCAATATGTGTGTTAAACCCCAAAGTTCTGAGCTCATATCTTTTGTGTCAGGTGTCAACACAGGCGTAAGTTTTATGGCTGAATAGTGAGACCCTAGAAATAAAGCAAATCATGAAAAATCAAATTACTTTTGCTAAATGCCTAAGTAACTTTTTCAGTCTTTATTTGTGTGTGAAAAAACAAAGACAGTGTTGCCTCTTTCCTGTGAATCAGTATTGAAAAAAATAATCTCACAGAAGGAGTCTAGACTGACAAGATTGAAAAGTGAGGCCCAAATGCTGTTTGTGTGGAATAAGTCAGCACTCATGGATGTTACTTCTAACACTTGCCTCCAGCTCTTCTCTCTGTGTCTGAGACCTGCCTAGAAGAGAAATTCTATCCAGGTAGCTGAACAAAACTCAGCCTTTCTTGCTACCTGAAAGAGCTGGTGGTGCATTCTGCTTGGAAAGGTTCTTCTGTAAAGCTCTGTTGGGAGCACCACATAAAGCACAGAATGACCAGGTCAAACAGAATTTTTCCTGTAAACTTTCAGGCATGGTATTCTGGAGAGACAGTAACATGCTTCCCACTCTGTCCTTGTCTCATTTCATTTTCATTTTAGATTATCTAATATGCATATATAACACAAGAGAAAAATGCCTTGTACTCCCCCAGCCAGCCCCTACACTCCTCATGCTTGACAGCTGGGACTTTTGCCTATAGTTCTTTGGTTGTTGTTTAACACATAGAAATATGGCAAGCTGTGGAAGTTGTTCTTAGCAACTGAATTCCCCTGAAGGCTCCAGACAGAAGCAGCATGGTCACAGACACCTATTATTATTTTTAACTTGTTAGCACATGTGAATTCACTAGGTTTATTTTTATTTTTAAGAAAATTAATCATTTGAAATGTATTCAGAGATGGCTGCTACTGCAAAAGCTGTCAGAGGTGCTGTCTCACCAGGCTTGGGGCTCTGTTCTGCACTAACCTGAGGAGTCACATTATGGCAACTAAAAGTACACTGGCAGGAGGCAACACGCTGCCTTGTAGGTGTGTTGGAGGCCTTGGGAGTTCAGCTGGCTGAGGAGAGCAATCACCTGCTGGGCAGAGACCTTAGCAAGAAGTGGCAGGAGCAGCAGGAGGGGGCAGAATCAAAAGGCACTATTTGCAAAATGAGCTCAGCAAACAGGATTTGATGGTCCCTTTGTTGGTTGCCTTCCTCCAGCATCAGCTGGCACTACACTCCCTTGGATATCCTTAACTGATAAGCTTTCCTGCTGGGTCAGAGCCACCTCTGAGCACTGGGGGTTGGGGTGCTCAGTGCCTTGGGGTTGGAGTTTTGGGTTCTAACTCTTGAGATTGTTTGTTTGTTCAGGCCTAGACCCTCCACAGAAGGACTGGAAGTCTGACCAGTTGTACATAAGAGTTGTTGGCTGAACACATATTATTTGACATCAGTTCTTAGCTGATCATGCCAAAACAGAAACCTGCAGGAACAAACTTTTTGTTGACAGCTAAGAGAAGGGAGAATTCCTTCATTCCCATCTCAGCAGAGGAACGTGCCTTACACCTTGTTGACACAGCAGCAGGGACAGGTTGCAAACGCTGTGGTGGCGTGAGGGAGTGCACAGGGCTTGCAGTTATGCCAGTTTAGCACATTTTGTGTTTACCTTCAGCTTAAACAAAGATGCACAAAAATATGTTTGTAATCACTGTCTTAGAAAGAAAATACTTGGCTTTCAGCCATTGGATTTTTGTCTCCTTTTTTTTTTTTTTTTTTTAATCAATGACTGGCTGTCTTCAGTCATTCCTGTCTTACTCCATCTGATTTTGCTGATGGAGTTGGATGCAGATGTTACACACTTTATTAATTAGAAGCCTCCCTCCTCTCTAACTAAGGACTTTGGCTTAGCTCTTAGAGACTTCATAATGTCACTAGTGATCATGTTACTCAGCTTGATAATATTAAAAATACAAGCCAGTGGATCCTACTGGCTTGAGAACTCACTTTTATTAAAGTGGTTTACATTATGAAAAATTATGCTGTAGAGATATATTAGCCAATGGATAAAGCTGACCTTGGTTTTTAGAAAAAAATGGGGGTTACTGAATTCATTTGTTCCTTAATTCTCCTGAGCATTTATTCAATGCTTTTTACCCAGGGGAAGCAGGCAAAAATCATTAGCCTTTATGAAATTAGAAAAATGTAGGGAGTGACATGATCTGGCCAAGGGCATGAAG